CAATATGACAATCTCTGCCTTTTAATAGGAGTGTTAACCAGGCACAGTGGCTCACGATTGTAAACCTAACACTTTGGGAGGTTGAGGCAGGCGGATCATGAGGTCAGGAGTTCAAGACCAGCCTGACCAACATGGTGAAACCCTGTCTCTACTAAAAATACAAAATTAGCCAGGAGTGGTGGCACACGCCTGCAGTCCCAGCTACTCAGTAGGCTGAGGCAGGAGAATCACTTGAACCCAGGAAGCGGAGGTTGCAGTGAGCGGAGATCACTCCACTGCACTCTAACCTGGGCAACAGAGAAAGACTCTGTCTCACAAAAAAAAAAAAAGAAAGAAAAAATGGTTTTGGGTTGGGTGAGGTGGCTCGCACCTGTAATCGAAGCACTTTTTTTTTTTTTCCTAAAAAAAAAAAAAGATGAAAGAAAAAAGGAATAATAATAATTAAAAAGAATGAAGGAGAGGAAGAAAGAGGAAGAGGGAGAGAGAACGGGGGTGTTGCTTTATTGCCTGGGCTAGAATGCAGTCTAAAAATGGGTATGCCTATAATTGTGCTTAATAATAGAGACATGAAAAAAAAAAGAGGGAAGAAAATAACAAACAAGCAGCCAACCAATATTTCATTTAAACCTGTAAATAGATGTGATGTGGTACTGATAAGAGTGTATATTTTGTGTATTTAAAGTGGAGAGTTCTATAAATGTTAATTAAGTTTACTTGTTCTGGATCTGAGTTCAAATCCTGGATATCGTTGTTAATTTTCTGTCTCATTGATCAGTCTAATATTGATGTTGAAGTCTCCCACTATTATTGTGTGGGAGTCTAAGTCTCCTATAAGTCTTATATATCTGGGTATTCCTGTACTGGGTGCGTATATACTTAGGATCTTTAGCTCTTCTTGTTGCATTAATCCTTTTGTCATTATGTAATATCCTTCTTTGCTTCTTTTGATCTTTGTTGCTTTAAAGCAACTCCTGCTTTTCATTTATTTATTTATTTTTGCTCTCCATTTGGTTGGTAAATCTTTCTCCATCCCTTTGTTTTGAGTCTTTTGTGTATCCTTGCATATGAGATGGGTCTGGATGCAGCATACTGATGGGTTTTGGCTTTTTTTGCCTGTCTGTGTCTTTGGATTGGGGGATTTAGTCGATTTAAATTTAGAATTAATAATAATATATGTGAGTTTAATACTGCCATTTAATGTTAGCTGGCTGTTTTGCCTATTAGTTGATGTAAATTCTTGATTATGTTGATGCTCTTTACTTTTTAGTATATTTTTAGAAAGGCTGATACTGGTTGTTCCTTTCTATGTGTAGTGGTTCTTTCAGAAGCTCTTGTAAAGCAGGCCTGGTGGTGATGAAATCTCTGAGTGCTTGCTTGTTCACAAAAGATTTTATTTTTCCTTCACCTATGAAGCTTAGTTTGGCTGGATGTAAAATTCTGGGTTGAAAGTTCTTTTCTTTAAGGATGTTGACTATTGGCCCCCACTCTCTTCTGGCTTGTAGGGTTTCTGCTGAGAGATCTGCTGTGAGTCTGATAGGCTTCCCTTTATGGGTAACCTGACCTTTCTCTCTGGCTGCCCTCAGTATTTTCTCCTTCATTTCAACCCTGGTGAATCTGGTGATTATGTGCCTTGAGGTTGGTCTTTTTTTTTTTTTTTTGAGACGGAGTTTCACTCATGTTACCCAGGCTGGAGTGCAATGGCGCGATCTCGGCTCACCGCAACCTCCGCCTCCTGGGTTCAGGCAATTCTCCTGCCTCAGCCTCCTGAGTAGCTGGGATTACAGGCATGCACCACCATGCCCAGCTAATTTTTTTTTGTATTTTTAGTGGAGACGGGGTTTCACCATGTTGACCAGGATGGTCTCGATCTCTTGACCTCGTGATCCACCCGCCTCGGCCTCTCAAAGTGCTGGGATTACAGGCTTGAGCCACCGCGCCCGGCCGAGGTTGGTCTTCTAGAGGAATATCTTTGTGGTATTCTCTGTATTACCTGGAGTTGAATATTGTCCTGCCTTGCTAAGTTGGGAAAGTTTTCCTGAATAATATCCTGAAGAGTATTTTCCAGCTTGGATTGATTCTTTGTCACATTCAGGTACACCTATCAAGCGTAGATTAGGTCTTTTCACATAGTCCCATATTTCTTGGAGACTTTGCTCGTTCCTTTTTATCCTTTTTTCTCTAATCTTGTCATCTTGTTTTATTTCATTAAGTTGGTCTTCGACTTCTGATATCTTTCTTCTGCTTGATCGATTCAGCTGTTAAAACTTGTGCATAGTTCACGAAGTTCTCGTGTTGTGTTTTTCAGCTCATTAATTCAGTTATATTCCTCTCTAAATGGTGTATTTTTGTTAACATTTCATCAAACCTTTTCCCAAAGTTCTTAGTTTCTTTGCATTGGGTTAGAACAAGTTCTTTTAATTCACAGAAGTTTCTTATCATCCACCTTTTGAAGGCTGCTTCTGTTAATAGAACACACTCGTTCTCCATCAGGCCTTGTTCCACTGCTGATGAGGAACTGTGATCCCTGTAGAGGAAGAGGCGTTCTGATTTTGGGTATTCTCAGCCTTTTTAGGCTATTTTCTTCCCTTCGTTATAAATTTATCCATCTTTATAATTACCGTCTTTATAATTGGGTTTCTGAGTGGATGTCCAACTTGTTGATTCCCGGGGCTAAAATCTGAGCAACCCACTGCGCCAGCCAAAACAGCCGCGTTAAGATTGATGGTGATTTTCTGACTCTGCACCAAGAACTGCCGCACCAAGGCAGTGGCAAAACCACCTCACCAGCCATAAGAGTCGCGCTGGCGACCCGTGGGCCTCCCCCACTGGGAATCTTCTGGTGCGTGAGCAACAAAAATTCGTCTGAAAGTGTGGCATCCTCTTGTTCTCTGTGCTTTCACTGGGAGCTACAATCCCGAGCTGCTAGTGATCAGCCATCTTGGATCTCTCTAATCGCAGCACTTCTGAGAGGCCAAGGCTGACGGATCACCTGAGGTCAGGAGTTCGAGACCAGCCTGGCCAACATGGCAAACCATGTCTCTACTAAAAATACAAAAATTAGCCGGGCGCGGTGGCTCAAACCTGTAATCCCAGCACTTTGGGAGGCCGAGGCGGGTGGATCACGAGGTCAAGAGATCGAGACCATCCTGGTCAACATGGTGAAACCCCGTCTCTACTAAAAATACAAAACATTAGCTGGGCATGGTGGCGCGTGCCTGTAATCCCAGCTACTCGGGAGGCTGAGGCAGGAGAATTGCGTGAGCCCAGGAGGTAGAGGTTGCGGTGAGCCGAGATCGCGCCATTGCACTCCAGCCTGGGTAACAAGAGTGAAACTCCGTCTCAAAAAAAAAAAAATACAAAAATTAGCCGAGCATGGTAGTGGGCACCTGTAGTCCCAGTTACTCAGGAGGCTGAGGCCAGAGACTCGCTTGAACCCAGGAGGCAGAGGTTGCAGTGAGCCAAGAGCTGAGATCATGCCACTGCACTCCAGCCTGGGAGAAAGACGGTGACTGCGTTTCAAAAAAAAAAAATTTTTTTATTAAATTGGATTGAGTTTTTAAAGATTTCCAATCAGGGGTAACATCTCAGAAAGTTACAATTTAGACTGGGTATGGAGGTGGAATGAAATGGAAGGGAAGAAATAAAATGGAAGCAGCAGCAGAGGCCATGAGGGCAGAAATAAAAATATGAAGACGAGAAGAAAAGGAAGTATCAGAAAATAAGTCGAGGTTTGAACATCTACTTTTCAGAGAACCCTAATCTTTGCTAGAAGAATATAGTTGGGGGAAGGAGTCTAGATTGAATTTTATTTATTTATTTATTTTGAGACAGTGGAGTCTAGCCCTGTGGCCCAGGCTGAAGTACAGTGGTGAGATCTCAGCTCACTGCAACCTCTGCCTCCAGGTTTCAAGAGATTTTCCTGCCTTAGCTTCCTGAGTAGCTGGGATTACAGGCACACACCACCATGCCCAGCTAATTTTTGTTTTAGTAGAGATGGGGTTTTACCATGTTGCCCAGACTGGTTTCAAACTCCTGACCTCAAGTAATCCACCTGCCTCGGCCTCCCAAATTGCTGGGATTACAGGGGTAAGCCACCGAGGCAGCCCTGAACTTTATTTTGGACTCAGTTTAAGGCGTTGAGTCTTCCTGGTAGAGATGTAGAGCTGCAACTTGGGGTAGAGGTCAGAACCAGTCCAGATGGGCTGACCTGTCAAAAGGTGACAACCAAACCCTGAACTGGGTGTGGTGGCTTATGCCTGTCATCCCAGCACTTTGGGAAGCTGAGGCAGGCGGATCACGAGGTCAGGAATTCGAGACCAGCCTGGCCAACATGGTGAAACCACATCTCTACTAAAAATACAAAAATTGGCCGGGCGTGGTGGTGCTCGCCTGTAATCCCAGCTATTCAGGAGGCTGAGGCAGGAGAATTGCTTGAACCTGGGAGGTGGAGGTTGCAATGAGCAGAGATCGGGCCACTGCACTCCAGTCTGGGCAACACAAGACTCCCTCACAAAAAAAAAAAAAAAAACAAAACAATTCAAATCTCCTTCCACCACTTGTGTGATGACCCCAGAAAACTTGCTTTACCTCTTTAAAATCAGTTTTCTTATCTTACAACTACCATGAGGTTTTTGTGAACAACAAATGAGCTAACTGACATGGATGTGTTTCTGTTGTTAACAAAATAAAGGGTCTTAGGTGGATGCGGTGGCTCACGCCTGTAATCCCAGCACTTTGGAAGGCTGAGGCAGGTGGACCACGCGGTCAGAGGTTCGAGACCAGCCTGACAAACATGGTGAAACCCTTTCTCTACTTAAAAATACAAAAATTAGCCGGGCGTGGTGATGCTCACCTGTAATCCCAGCTACTTGGAAGGCTGAGGCATGAGAATTGCTTGAATCCAGGAGATGGAGGTTGCGGTGAGCAGAGAGCATGCCATTGCACTTCAGCCTGGGCAACAGAGCAAGACTGTCTCAAAACAAACAAGCAAAATAAAGGGTCTTACAAAATAGGTAATAGTAATAATAATCACTTATTATTATTACATGAAGCTACATGAATGCGTAAGATCTTAGAGGAAGACAGCAGAGAGAAATTAAAGATCCCAGGGTTAAAAGCTGGAGAAATTTCACTGTACATCATCCAAAAAAGGAGTCCATGATGGAGGCCGAGACACACTTGGAGAGGTAAGATACCCTGGCGACATGGGGAGTGCTTTGTGGCGGACTCTGAATAGAAGAAATTCAGCCTGACCAACAAGGCGAAACCCCGTCTCTACTAAAAATACAAAAATTGGCTGGGCATGGTGTAGCACACCTGCAGTCCCAGTTACTCGGGAGGCTGAGGCAGGAGAATCGCTTGGACCTGGGAGGTGGAGGTTGCAGTGGGCCAAAATCGCTGCCACTACACTCCAGCCTGGGCGACATAGGGAGACTCCGTCTCAAACAAAAAAAAAAAAAAAAAAAATGACTGGGTGTTCATACACATGTGAGATGTGCCTCCCTCAAACCTTGTTAAGACATGGGCACATACCTATCTGATGTGAACTCACGGGGAAAAAATTCTGGTCACGCCATTCCCGTGCCCAAATCCCCATATTTCCCCACGACCTCAGGATAGAGGCTGGACCCCTTAGTGACACACAAGTCCTCCTAGACTTAACTTGGAAAGCCGTTTTTAAGCCCCAGGCTGAGTCACATGCCCCTGTGGGTATCCCTGTCACAGCGCGGTGTAGTTGTTGATAGATTTCTCATCCTTCTCCATGGACACCCTCTTGAGGGTAGGGAAGATGAGTATCTTTTTTCTCCGTACAGATCCTACCGCACCAGATTTTCCTAAACAGACACGAATTCAAGGAGTTTTTTTGGTTGTTACCCCGCTTGTCCCGATTTGGGGTTTCCAAAATACACACCCACTGGAACCCGGGCCAGGGGAGCCAGCCTGCCCAAGAGCGGGAGCGCGCCACATGCAGATCACGGGATGGCCGCCAGGGGCCGCCGGGCTCTTTGTTTTCCTTTCTCGCCCGGGTCGGGGCCAGAGGCCTGCAGAGCGCATGCTCTGGGGCAGTTCGGGCCGGGCGGGGAGCGCCGGAGTTCCTTGGGGCCGACGTGCAACGAGGTAGGTCTCGCTCGGGACCCGCGGAGGGTCCGGGCGGAGGGCGCCGCGTGGGCCGGCCACAGGCGAAGCACGGGCTGGTCCATGCGGGCCTAGGTCGCTGCCCGCTCTAGCCCGTGTCGCGCGGCGCCGGCCGCACGTGAAGCCCGGCGGCTGGAAGGCGCGGTGCGGGCTCATGATTCCTCGGCCCCGCGGGGCGCTGGGGCAGCCGCTGGGCCCCGCCTCGCGGAGCCAGGGCCGCACTGCTCCGCCGCCGCCGCGCCTCTCACGCCCGCGCCGCGGCGCCCGCGCAGGCGGGAGATTCAAACGGCGCGAGCGCGGTGGGCCGGGTGCGCGCGGCCGCCCGGGCACTGGCTGCGTCTCTTCCGCGAGGAGGGTGGTTTTGTCCGGCATGCGCTTGGAGAAGGCGTTTTGCAGAGCGGGGAAGGCGACCTGCCCGGAAGAGGGTGGGCCTTAGGAGCTCCAGGGTGGATGGTGCTGCGGCGAGAGAAGCCCCAGCGTCGGCGGGCACCGCTGTGGACTCTTGGGAGCCGTGTGTCTCGAACTCTGCAGCAGCTCAGTCTGTCAGCAAATTATTTGTTGGCCATCTGTTCCGTGCTGCTCTTGCGGGGCTGGGGGACAGTAGTGACAAGGGCGGGCTCGTGTTGCCCTCCTTACCGAGCTCTGGGGCTCCTTGGAGAGACATCATGTGGGTCCAAAGTTAAGGTCCAGTGTGATCATCGAACTATGCCCTTGAGCCCGGGCGACGGACGCTACTGGGGAGTCATTCATTCATCAGATATTGACTGAACTCCTCCGACCACGTGTGACTTGTGTGCCCTAGCAGAAGTTGAGTGTGTGGGATGTTACGGTAACCCTCAGGGGAAAGCCCATTCTGCCAAGGAGGCTCAGGCCTTTCCAGGTGAAGTGACTCTTGAACGAGGTTTTGAAGGAATAGGTTTTTGAGGCAGCTTGAGGATGGTGGGATTAGGGTGATTCAGGCAGAGGGCAAAGGCATGAAGGTATAGATATTGTGTATAGATATTGTGGTCAGGGATACTATAGGCCTTGAGGTGACCGGAGGAGGAAGTGGCAAGATGATACAGCAGGAGCTAGGTCATGAAGGGTCTTGTGTGCAAGGCTAAGGAACACTGGGGGGTGGAGGAGGCAGGGAAGGTTCCCCCCCAAAAAGGGCATCAGAGTGAAACCTGGACAGATGAATTAGGAGTTCACAAGGCTCCTGTTTCAAAGACATTCCCAGAGCAGGAATCCTGTTCTGTTCACCTTTACAACTTTCTCATCACGTGCCCCTGGGCAGTCCACCCAGACCCCCTGAACATTGGTTTCCTTATCTGTAAAGTGATAGGGGAGGGCACATGTGGTGAGGATGACTAATATTCTATAATTGTTTTTTCTGATACAGAATCTCCCTCTATTGCCCAGGCTGGAGTGCAGTGTTGTGCCCTCGGTCACTGCAGCCTCCGCCTCCTGGGTTCAAGCAATTCTCCTGCCTCAGCCTCCCAAGTGGTAACTTTCATAAAGTAGTGATTCCAACAGCTAGTGGAAGTTGTGGCTCCCTTCCTCCAGGAAAGATAAACACATAGGCCCAGGCACAGCTTGTATACAGCGAGGATCCCTGGTGAGAAACTCTTAGTGTGAAATATGCCAGCTCTGTGCCTGGCATAACAGCACCTCAGCAAATGTATGTTGTTGACACATCACCCCTCTCCTCCTTCTCTCCTGGGGACCTTTCACACAAAGAGATTTTTCAGCCTGAGTCTGGCAGGCAAGTTCTACCCCCTGGCATGGGGGACAGAGGGTACAGCTGCAGTGGCCTGGGAGGGCTCTGTCTTCTTTTATAGAAATTAGGCTGTGGTGAGGTCACTGGAGGTCAGGGCAGGAGCCCAAGGCTCCGGGTAGACTGTCTAGACTGGCGTGCCTACCTGCTTTCTTCAACAAATAAGGAAAGTGAGGTGGAAGAGGGCGGCTCTGGCCCTGGTGGAACGTGATCATGAGACTGGGATTTCATTCCAGGTGACCCACCGGGGTCTCATCTTCCCTGAGTCTTGTCTTCCCCTTAGCTGTAAAACTAGGATGAGTCCGCTCACCTCAAGGGCAGCTGTGGGCATTCTGGAGTACCTGTGGTGGAAGATGCTTCTGTATCCAGCTTATCGGTGACTATCACCCTTTCCCAGAGCATACACTCCTTGAAGATGGAAGCTGTGTTGGGTGGGGCTGGGCAGGGAAGCATGACAGCAAAAGCCAACTCCTTATTCCCAGCCCAGACACTCACTGCCTGGTTAAGAAAACACAGCCAGAGAGGCCAGGCTCAGTAGCTCACACCTGTAATCCCAGCAATTTGGAAGTCTGAGGTGGGCAGATTACGAGGTCAAGAGACTATTCTGGCCAACATGGTGAAACCTTGTCTCTACTAAAAATACAAAGATTAGCTGGGTGTGGTGGTGTGCACCTGTAGTCCCAGCTATTCGGGAGGCTGAGACAGGAGAATTGCTTGAACCCGGGAGGCAGATGTTGCAGTGAGCCAAGATCACCCCACTGCATTCCAGCCTGGCGACAGAGCGAGACTCCATTTCAAAAAAGCAAAAACAAAACAAAAACAGCTTGGTGTGGTGGCATGTACCTGTAGTCCCAGCACTAGGGAGGCTGAGGCAGGAGAATCGTTTGAACCTCTGAGGCAGAGGTTGCAGTGAGCTGAGATCGTGCCACTGAACACTAGCCTGGGCAACAGAGCAAAGCACTATCTCAAAAAAAAAAAAAAAAAAGGATAGAGAAAGCACCCCCAGAGCAGTGAGAGAAATCTATGCAAAAGACCCATTTGTGCCTGGTGCGGTGGCTCACAACTGTAATTCCAGCACTTTGGGAGGCCGAGGCAGGTAGATCATGAAGTGAGGAGGTCAAGACCAACCTGGCCAACGTGGTGAAACTCCGTGTCTACTAAAAACAGAAAAATTGGCCGCCTGTAATCCTAGCTACTTGGAAGGCTGCGGCAGGAGAATTGCTTGAACCCAGGAGGCAGGGAGTGCAGTGAGCCTAGATCATGCCACTGCACTCCAGCTTGGGAGACAGAGCGAGATTCTGTCTCAAAACAACAACAACAAAAGACCCATTTGTGCAGTAGAATCTGTGCAGGCAGGTACAGGGAACAGGGCTCCATCTATTAGAAGGTGGCTCTCCATCCCCTGCCCTCCCTGGCTATTGATCACTCACAGCAACCCAGTCCAGGGCCTCAGGTCTAACATATTGGAGAGGAAGTGTTTAGGACTCAGTGAGCACTCAGGTGCTGTCTCCACCACAGCAGGGAGTAGTTGCCACTGTCCTTCCCCACATCCGTCAGTGGATCTGTCACCACCCAGCCCACCTTCCCTCAGGTGCCAGCTGCCTCTGTCTCTCCCTCTCAGCTGGCTTCTGCTCTCGGCTTCTTGGACTTGGCCAAACACACAGGGGATACTGGAAGGCCTGCCCAGGCTGCCTTAGCCCCTGCATGGACCATGGTCTGCCTTTAGAATCAGTTAGATAGAACCTGGGTTGTTTTTCTAGGCTCCCCATTACTTACTGTGTGGATGTAGGCCAATAAAATTACCTCTCTGAGCCTCAGTTCCTTACCTGTGAAATAGTAGTGACAGTGCTACCTTTTTCAGCTAACTGTAAGAAGTAAAAGGGCTTTGCATACGAAGATACAGTCCGTTGGCTAGTGCCCCCAGAGGCTCATATTTTAGGAAGGTGATTAGTATGGTGGACAGACATGTTTAAATTAAAGTGATTGTGATCCCAAAGTCTGTCCCGGTTTCTCAGAGAAAATGCCTAGTTCAGGATGGAGGAGGGATCAGAGCAGGTGAATTTGAGACACCAGTAGTTGTTCTTCCAGTGGGATAAGGGATGGGAAGGCATTCCAGGTAAAGAGATGCAAATGGTTTGGAGAGGACACTTAGCAGTCTGGCTTGGTGGGTCTGACAAGGAGATTGTGTGGGAAAAGAAGGGAGGATGTAATAGACAGGAGATGAAACCAGAGGTTCTGTCAGTCCCCGATGCTGGAGGCCTATAATACCAGGCTAAGAAATGTGGGCTTTATCTT